CCCCCCCCCAGGGAGTACCATCATGTATGGGGCACTCCTGCTGTTTGAGTCGGAATTCGTGCACATCGTGGCGATTTCCTTCACATCACTGATCCTCACGGAGCTGCTGATGGTGGCCCTGACGATCCAGACGTGGCACTGGCTCATGACGGTGGCGGAGCTGCTCAGTCTGGCCTGCTACATCGCCTCCCTGGTGTTCCTGCATGAGTTCATCGGTGAGACCCCCTGCACTGCAAGCCAGTCCAACGGGTCCTACGTGGTGAAGGAGGGCGGCCCCCAACACCCGTGGCCTGGGCGTGTCCAGCGGCCTTTACACCCTGCTGCCCCCACTGAGTTACCGGTGTCCCTTGGGACAGGCGGCAGTGTGAATCTGCCTCCTGGACCCGAGGCTCTTGGGCATGACCATGGTGGGGAGTGTTTTCTTGTAAATCCACGCTGTGCTACCTGGCTTAGAAGGGGATTCCATTTGATTCAACAAGGACATTGTGCATTTCTCCAGGGAGCTGGTTGCCATGCTGGGCGCTGTGGAGCCGGGGAGATGTCAAGTGTCCAGGTCTTGCTGGCAAATAAACGATAGCCCGGCTGGACTTGTCACTCTCATTAGGTTGAGAAACTCTGCCTTACCATGAAGGCATCTTTAGTCATGTCTCTGGTTTATCAGCAAGCTCCTTAAGAAGGTTTCTGTAAAGCCAGAAAGAACATCCCTGTGAAAGATGACGTCTTAGAACAGTTTTACTCTTGTCCCAAAGTCTCTCAGAGTGGGTTTTGCAAGCACCTACTGTGTGCTCAATAACTTGAGGCTAGGGCATCACAGAAGCTTAGAAAATATGAGCTCTGCCCTCTGGAAGCTGAAGTTGGTCACCCTAGACGTGGTCCAGGTGCAGGACTGGGTAAGCAGCACACGGGCCCAGGCGTGGCCCTTAGTGGGTCCTCAGTCGGTGCCCGCTGTGTTTCCCCATCCTGTGCTCAAGAACTGGGGAAGGTGCTTACTGTGGCATCCGCTCCATGTTCTGCAGAACACCAGCTGTTGCTCCTCACATCAAACCCTTGTTCCTGCAGGCTTTACTGTCCTGCTCGGGAAGGGGAGTGCAGCCATCCATGGGTCTGAGCCCCAAGTAACCTTATTTCCACAACGGACTCTCAGCCCACTTTGCACCCCCCTCAGATCTGTCTCATGGCTTTCTGTCACCATTACTGAGACACAGGGAAAAGTTGCCAGGCAGCAGGAACGTGTGTCTGAGTGTCACTTTCTGCTCTCTGGTGGCTGGGTTTGGAAAGAAAACTCTTGACTGTCACATTCCAAATCAAAAACACCTCTAAGAATATTTTCGGCCTGTAGTTTTCTTTTCCTGGCTGTTGCTTAGCATTTCACTGAGTCTCAGGAAGCTACAGAAGCAGGTCAGAGAGAGGAGGAGAGAGGAAAGTCAAGCTGATGGCCTTTGTGCACTATTGGCCCAGGCACGTCCCCTTAAAGGCAGAGGGAGGAAAGAAGCCAGGCCTGCAGCCGTGTGCTTGTGGCGGGAGACAGTGCCCCCTTCGGGGCCGGCTCTGGGCTGCGCGCGCCTCCTGGAGCCTTGCGCCCGCTCACTGCACTCTTCCCGTTTGCTTGCAGATGTGTACTTCATTGCCACGCTGTCGTTCTTGTGGAAAGTCTCTGTTATCACTCTGGTCAGCTGTCTCCCCTTGTACGTCCTCAAGTATCTGCGAAGACGGTTCTCCCCTCCCAGCTACTCGAAGCTCACATCATAGGTGGAGGGGACTCTGGTCTCTGCGTGTTCCTGACGGACAGAGTTCAAGTTCCATTTATATTACCCGCCACCTGTGGATTCTGCAGTAATTGCTAACACGTGCAGTTCTGATGTGCAGAAGCTCTGCACGGAGTCCTCACACTGAGTAGACAGGAGGGAGGTCCTAAGAGGGGCCCACACAGGCCTGTTTGAACCCCTGGTGATGCATTTTTGGGTGAATGTGAATATGTGAAAACTGGTGGCTCAGCCAAGAGATTGATAGTATGGGTCACTGCGCAAGTTTCCTTGTGACTTGAGTTTTGTTGTCATGTGATAAAAGCTTCTGTCTAATTGAAGATGGCAGAAGGTTTTTTGTTTTTCAGCCTGAACATATGTGTAGTCTTTATGTCTTTCTCACTCCTAAAATCTGGGTTTGGAGAAATGTGAAGCTCCCAGTATAGGTTTGGGGGAAAAGGCTGTGATATTTGGCAAAAAAGTTATCCAGACAATAATCTCACTTTGGAAATGCCGGACATCCTCTCTAAGGCAGCCCTGCTTACTGACGTGCTTACTGACGTCCCAGGATTACAGAAAAGCAAAGGAGAGGAGAGGAGAGGAGAGTGCCACGAATCAAGGCTGTTACCCTTCATCTGAGGCAACCTCTACAGCCCTCCAGTTAACGTTGCCGGCCACCTCGTAAAAGAGTTTCAAAGGTGTTACCCTGCGTTGTTGGGACCTGGTAGGAATCATAAAGCCTGTGGCCATCTGAGGACACCCTCTGACATTTTCAGCTGAGCTGTTTTAGCAGGAAACGTGCCACCAAACAGCCTCTAAATGTGTCGACAGTGTGATAAGAGACTCAACTAATTCCTTAGACAACATCGCACATGTGGCTCAGACCCTGAGTGCGAAGTGGAAAGGTCAGGGACTGGGGCTCTTTACTTCCACTGAAATCTGTTTCCTGTTAGGAGGACTTATTGAAGACACAACGGCAAAGGCAGAGGCGTCTTACCGGGCTGCCATTTATCGGTGGCAGCTTCAAGAAAGGGGCTCTGGTCTGAGGAGGCCCAGGCAACAGCTTTGGCGTCTGGGCTCTGTTCCGCTGCCTACAGATTTCAAGCGGAACTTGCTGAAAGGCAGCCAGTGGTAAAGATTCCTCCCGCACCAGGATGGAGGACATGCATGTGTGTTTCTTATAAAGCTGTGGCTTCTCATTTCAGAGGAAGAAAGGAGTTTGCAAGCGCTGGACGTGGCGGGGCAAGGCATTCTTGGGTTTTCAAGTCACCTCTTGGAGCAGCCACATCTGCATGCCGTAGGGTTAAGTTGGTAGATCTTCAAGAGCTGACTGTGTTTGAGATCTGAGATTTATGATTGATTCTTTTTGAGGACATCCCCGTCAACCCTTCAGCATGACGTTTCTTTTGCATGTGTGCTTCAGAGAGGTAAGTTCCAGCCTGGTTGCCGAGGTCCACCACCCGAGGTCTCTTGGAGAGCTGGGGACAGGAGGAGCACATAGTTCCTCGCTTGGAGCCCTCCTGATATGTCATGGATTTGTGGTCCCCTTTTAAAACTTTGTACAATGACAGTAAGTTGCAGGCACTGGTAAATTGGTTATTGATGTCATTTCTGTTTTAAGATCCTGCAGTTTTGTAGAATTTTCCCTTTCCTGCTCCAGCGATTTCTGCCGTACAGAAGAGATCTATAGAGGATAGATATTGCAGTGAATAGATTGTTATTTAGGAATAGGATCTTGGTCCAAATCTTGCAGAAAGTTTGAGCAGGTCTGACTCCTTCCGGAGTGATCTGAGCTTGCTTCCAAGTTCAAGGGGGGAGAATAATGTGCTTAATGTTTTTACACCTCTGTCTGTCTTTTTGGAAGTCAGACTGTAAAACTGGACATCATAAGCAGTTCCACTCTGAGTGTGAAAACCCAGAACCTAGCCTTGTTCACAGCCAGGTGATGGCTCTGGCATGTAGGTTCTTGTGGAACCCTCGTCAGGAAAGTCTAGACGTCCCCTGAAGATAAAGGGAACGAAAATGGTCTCTTTGGACTTTTCCTTAATTCCTAATTTTGATCAAGGTGCATGAGATAACTTTTAAAGTCAAACTCCTAAGGTACCACTTGGCATCTCGAAGGGAGGGAGCTTCTCAGAGGGGCTGAAGAAGCCATCCTGGAAGTCAAGGGATGCTCGTCAGTGCCATGACACGCCTCTCTGTGCAGCCATCTTGGACACATGCTGATGGACACAGTCAAAGGCAAAAGGGAACAGAACCCAGGCGGACCCACCATGTTTTCCCGACCACCATGTCGGTGCACAGCCTGTTCTCGTCACCCGCTGGGACTCCCCGGGCATCTCGGATTGTGCGATGTGTGTGCTTCTCCAACTCAGACCCCAAGGCAGGAGCCTCAAGTCAGCTGAGAGCGTGCAGTCCTTGCTGGCATGTGTCAGACTGTGTCCAAACAAAGAACCGGTACACATGGGTGCTTCCAGGGCTCTGCTCCTTGTGACAGAAGACAGGTGAACAAAGCATTGAGCTATTGTGCAGGAAACTCCTGAGTTCATAAGCATAAGGATTCTGTTGACCTTTGTCTTGGTTCACCAATCTGGAAAGAACTTAGGAAGCCCCACTCACCCCTTCCCTTTGCCTCGGGACTCAGTGGGACCAAACTCTCCGGCAGCTGATCTATTTTGAGGTCAGAGGCCCCATGGCACGCAATCAGTGCTGTTTAAATGTTTTTCCTTAAGGTAAAAATTATGATTCTCCCTACCCCCCGACGACACTAGGTATTTCTGTCAGAGCAAGTCCTTCTATTTTAGTTACTTTTATTACATCTTTTGGTGACAGTTGTGTGTGTGGGGAGAGTGGGATCTACCTAGTTTCTTTTTTCCTTCCTTCCTCCTTTTCTCCAAGAAAAGGACCAGACAAGTAATTGAGTACTTGCTCATATCTGACAGTTTAGATGTTTAGATTGTAGTTTTGAGGGCGTGCATGCGCACATGTGTGTCACGTAAGGTGCTGGGTGAGACTGGTGGCTGCTCAGGGCAAGCAAGGAAGGACGTCCCAGGAAGCATCCTGACAGTGGAGCACACCACCTGTTTACAGCCACCCGGGGCGGGGAGGCCAAGACCTGGATTTCTCCCACTGTTAGCATTCATATATCCAGACCCCAGACTCAACCCCCTTAGTAAGTGAAACCCTTTTTTTGTAGCTGTAAGCCTACATACCAGCGTCTGCTTATCCTTTCCTCAGTGGGTTCTCTGCTGAAAATTGAGGTCATGCGGACAACTTTTGAATGTATTTTGAGTTTTGTGCTCTTTGGAAATTGCCACAATAATGCCTATATTTCTTCCTCCAGACTTTTGGTTTTATACTTTGTTTTTACTGCAGTTGGCATCAGAACACCCTCACTCCTTTATGGGGCAGCATTTTAAACCTTTGCCAAAGTTGCAAATGGGACCTACGTGTTCTGCTCCATCCTATCTAAAGCAAACACCTATCAGCTATTGTTTTCTTTATTTTTTTCTGTGTGTGATTGAAACGTGTGTGTGAGTGCGTGATGTCATCTCAAGTTTTTTGAAGAGATTATTTGGTTTTCATTAAAATTTCTTTGCTTCCAGCTTTGTTTTCATTAAAAAAAAATAAGGCACTTTGTAAACAAAATATTTTAATTTCACCCTCATTTTAATGTAAAGCTTTTTGTCATTTATATACTTCTTAGGAAATATTTCCATTAATTATGTCCATGTCATCTTGAAAAAAATACATGTTTTTGAATGGAACTGAAAAGTCTATGTGAGCAGCATCCCTAATTCTTTGAGTTTTCTAGCATCTTCTTACGCCAAAGCAGCGTTACCTGTGACTCACGGCACGGTTGGAGGTATAGTCTGATAATGTCATTGGGCAATGTGAGTGAACATTGTGTTTGTGGGGGACAAGTATGTGTGGGGGGGTGTTATCTGCAAAAAAAAAAAATTTTTGTGGCTTACTATTTTGTTGCAATGGGGCAAACTGTGAACTCTAGGATTTTGTGACATCCTCATTAGTAGGTCTCTGTAACCCTCATTGCAAATATTCACCAGAGCAGCGTTTCTTCATTAGAGGACAGCTCTGGCGCAGTGTGCTTCAGCTCAGCAGGAACTCCCAGATGATTTACTCTCAATCCTGTGATGACACACATGTGATCCTGCGTGTTTCCGAGTAGTTTTACTTTCATTGTCTGCCAGCGTGGCCTGTTGCTGTTGCCCAATAAAGCTTGTGTACTTTATGCTTTAGGGGATCATTTTAATTTGTGTGGAAACATGAATTCTGGTGTCAAAATGAAGGCGTTTCATTATAATGCTCCTATTTTATGTGTCATGGTACATAAGATGTAAATGGCTTTCTCTCCATTAAAAAAAAATGTTTTGATTTTGGCAAAAAAATACTACCCCAAATCCATACATTGTATTATATTCTGTACTATTTATTCTAGACATATCAGAATCTCACAGAGTGATCAATATAAATAGAAAAAAAAGGAGAAAAATGTTTTATTTTTATTTATACACACAATTTGTTTTGGCTACTATTTAAAAATCAAGTGATGGAAGATTTAGGAACTCAGTTACTTAAGTTTTAGGCAGAAGAGGTTTTGAACCTATTGTGTAGGTAGCAGAGGACATATTTTATTAATTCCACCCAATGATTCTCAACCAGGGGTGTTTTTGTCCCCCAGGGGACATGTGGCAAGGTCCAAAGTCATTTTTGGTTGTTACAGCCACGGAGGCATGCTCAGTCATCTAGGGAGAAAGCCCAGGTATGCTATAGGACCCCGACACACAGGACAGCCCCCTCCAAAGAACCATCCAACCCAAAGCATCAAAAGGGCTGAGGTTAAGAAACCCTAATATAATCTGCACATTAGTTTTGCCACTTGGGGGAGTCTGCATTCCCAGAGGGGCCCAGTAGTATAAACTGGCACATCTCAGGAGACCAGTTACATGCCACCCACTTCACCAAAAGTCCTACCTCATAGCTATTGCAGTATGGGCTGCTCCTTCCCACCTGCTGGCTCTCAATTGAAAGGGCCATTCTCAGTCTATCAGAAGGAGGATAGTCAAGTAGCCGTGTCTCAGTCAGCAGTGGCTTTCCTGCATCAAGTCGGGGATGTCTGCCCTCAGCTCCCGGGACCTGGATTAAGAGCGGCAGTACTTTTCCTTTAAACATGTGCTGCCAGTGTGGTCTCAGCTCTGCCTTTACCTGCCGTGAAATTCCATTCATGCACAGACACTCTCCATTCTAGCCGCTAGGGGGAACTTGAGGATCGAAGCATCTTTCTATTTCCTGTTTTTAACTACCAGGCAGGCTCAGCATCCCCAACTGCTGCTTTCATAGCTTCAGAATTTATTTCATAGCCAATAGCGCTGTTAAAAACAGACATTTCTTTTTATGTTGTTGACCAGACTATGTTGCTGGACTTAGTCTTGAAAAAAGAAAAAATGTTGGGGGGTGGGGGTGATGAATATTTATTTGGTCTTGGATATTTGTATTTTTGAATAATTGGCAACTGGGAAGGCTTACCCTACTCACTATTCAGGCTCATAAGGTTTTGAGACGAAATGTTCCAAACACCCAAGTACTTTAACTGTTTTTGTTATGAAACTTTTCAGGATGACATGAAGCCCTGCGGTATTTGTGAGGAGATCTATAAATGATGGATTTGCTCACCTCAAAATAGAACTGTAGTCGCTCCAAACTTTCCAGAAGTCGGAGCAAGCACAGTAACGGAATTCATTCAGGACTTGCTAATTTCCTACTTTAAATGGGTTACATAACAGAACAGTCCCGCCTTCGCGCCTCTCAAAACTACCCATGAAGTGATGGTGAAATGTATCATTAAAAGCTAGAAATAGCTTTGCTAAACTCTGGGAAAAAAAATGAGGTTTTTTTCCTGATATCTTCCCCTTCACCCAAACGTTGCATAATGTTACAAAAGTCAAATCTTTCCGTGGGATTTAATTTCATTCTCCATGTGGCTGTGGTCGGAGGGGTAACTTAAGCACTTTGAGTGCTGGCGGATTTTTGGAGTATCACGCATTCCAGGATCGGTTTTCCTCTGAAGCCATAGCAGGCAAACACTCCCGATCCTGGGGTTTCTCCCTTTCTGTCCTGCTCCCCCTTTTGTGGATGAGTTATCTATGACAGCTTCTATGCAGAAAGTCTGCCTTCTTGTAGGAAAGCCGAAAAACAAAGCCACCCTCAGCTTTCCATATTGAGGTTTTGATTTTGAAAGGGATTCCCCCTCAAATTTGGGGTGACCAAATCATGTGTAAAGTCATTAGCCCCACAACCTGTGCTTGATCACCCACAGCCAGGTCTTGCTTCTTACAACTCAGCCTGCAGGTTCTATTTGCTTACAGTAAGAACTTGGTGTTCCAAGCCTCTGCTGTTCATGTTCAAGAGATTTAAGAGAAAAAAATATATTTTTTACTGGGTCCAGAGAAGTGTAGGAACATATTTTTATTTCCTTCGAGAAATATTGTAAAATCCAGAAAAAGAAAGGGGTCATGTAGAATATGCTGACATTCTCATTCATCAAATATGTCCTGAGTACCTACTATGTTCTGGAGGCTGTTCTCTGGACCAGAGGCACATGGAGAACAAGATAGACTGTCCCTGCCTTCATAGTTATTCTGTTCTTGTATGTGTGTGAGGGAGACAACACAGAACAGATACGGACTCTAATATCCTCCCAAGACAACAGGCTAAGGAGCAGGCAGAAGGTGACAATTGGGTAAGAGTAAGAGGAGAGAAAGTGATGGGGGTCAAAAGGGCCTTTTGGGGATGAGCAGAAGCCTGAAGGGTGAGGAAGAGGGAGCAGTGGAAGGCTCTGGGGGAAGTCGTGTTCAGGCAGTGGAATGTGCAAAAGTCCTGGGGTAGGAAAGGCTGCACTTGGGCAGAAAGAGGGACCCATGGCTGGAGTGTTAAGACCAAGGGGGAGCATGGAGGACATGAGGGCAGAGGGCAGCTAGGGCCCTCAGAGCATGGCGTTCAATCTGAGTCCTGTATGAGAACTGAGCAGGCATTACTAAAGTTAGCTCATTGCTCTCAAGGAGCCCCGTTGCACTCCCCGCCCCTTCCACTCTGCTTCGCTGGTCTGACCCACCCCTGCCTGTTCTCACTGCCACCTCAGGGGGCTCAGGCGGGACTTCCCCCCCGGAATCAACCCACTCCTATGCCCAGCATTTCTGTGTGATGTTATTGGCATAAATGATGCCTAACGATTGAATAAAGGGGAGAAGCTGGTCCTTGGATGAAGTTTCTTCTTGCTTTTCTAGCAAATAACGGCCCAGGCTTTCATTCAGCCCAGCCCGGTGTGTCCTGGCGGAGATGGCCGTTTATTCACCAGCCTGGGACAGCGGGCCACCTAAGAGCTGGGAGGTGAGCCTGGAGGGAGAACAGGTGGAGCGAAATGAGCCGGGTCATGTTCTTCGAAGCTGCCACATTTCCAGAATGTGCCCGCTTGGGTTTGTGGAAAGGAAGCCTCTGGCAGTCATGAGCTGCGTGCAGGGGCCCAGGCTGTGCTCAAATTCCTCCCAAAGAAAGAATAACGAGAACAGGCTGCGGAAAGGAATGTAGTTAGTGTCTTAAAGATGGGCAAATACTCATTCTCATTTGTCCTCTTATATGAAACAGATTTTTTAAAAGGCAATTGGAGTAGCTAACGACGTCCAGAGCCCTGTTGATTCGAGCACGGCTGGGGGTGGGGGCCTAAATTGGCCCAAACGACTAATCAGACCCAAAGAAAGAGGTGAGTTGATTACTCTGGAAATTACACAGGAATTCTTCAGAGACCTGGCCAATAATTAGAGTGTAAGATGCTACTCTCGATGCACATAACTCAGCATAATTTTATTAGGCAGCTGATCACCACCAGAATTAGAGAAAATCAGGCCAGAAGAAAATCCACTAGCCAGGCTGACTTATGCAGACGTGGAGACTTTTGCTCTTAAGTGGCTTCATGCTTGAGGAGCATACCCAGCAAAGCAGTACCTTCCTTCTGGGCCCTCAAGGGGATGGGAGGAGAAAGGAACATAATGTCATTTTAGGGGATGTGCTGGAATTTGAGGCTGGAGGTGCAGCACACAGCAATGTTCTGTGGACCCAGCGGAAACTGAGCCAGACTTGATTTGAATACCAATTCCCACACTTACTAACTGGGAGATAGGGGGCTGAGTCCTTCAATTGCCTGAGCCTCATTTCCTCACCTGGTACTGGGAGTGAGAACCCCACTTGCGCAGGTCAGCGGGGAGGTTCATGCTGTTGGCGATGGTGCAAGAGAGAAATGGCATCTGTGGCCACCCCTCAAGACCTCTGAGTGGAAGGCAGGCTGCAGATGGGGGTAGGCATTGTCTCTCCCAAACTCAAAAATGAGTTCATGCGTGTGTTTTCTACCAACGCTGAGGTCACCTGTTTGGGTAGCATTCTTACGAGGTTTGGAAGTTTGGGCACATAAGCAGTATCCCACTTTGGGTTTTTCCCCCAACCTTTCACCAACTTTGCAGGCGCTCAGCCTCTGAATACCCATCGGGGGCCTCATCCTCCCAGCCTGTGCTCTGCAGGGGAAATGCCTGCTACCATAATGCCAACCTGGCCTGGCATCCCTCAGGGAGCTCACCACCTTCAGGCCTGGGGCAGAAGTAGCCCAAGGAGAAAGAGGGCTTCCCAAAATTCCATTGACTCAGTGCCTTGGGAGGAAGAATGGAGAGTAAGTCTTTGAATTGCTAAATCATTTAACACTTTTTTTTTTCACATGAAAGCAAATGCATTAATTACATGAAGGCAAAATGTGCTCCAGTTCTAAAAAATAAACTAGGAGGCTTGAAAGCAGTGGTGGGGAGGAGTGACTGGGGCCCATGCAAGTGGGTCTCCCTCTCTGGCTCTGCTCTCAAGGGGTCTGGGGGGACAGCTTGGGAGGGACTAACTTATGGTCTTATCCTTAGCCAGCCCATGTTAGAGCTCACTCAACCTTTGTGACATTGAGTTTTCTTAATTGTTTGTGTGTGTGTGGTAAAATGTGCATAACATAAAATTTACCATTTTAACTATTTTTATATATGTGGTTCAGTGGCATTAAGTCATGGAGTTTTAAGAATGGATTCTAGAAGATTCAGGAACCTGACTGAAAAAAAGTGGCCTTGCCTTATCATGACTTTCCCACCTACACCTCATAATCCTGTGAGTTGAGTGTTCTTATCCCCAGATTGCAGGTGAGAAAAGCATTAC